GCAACCAAGGACGCCTCTGATAATAGGAAAAACCAAAAAAAGAACATTAACATGAATCAAGTGAACAGGTAGGTTTTAAGTGAGGATTTAAACATATGTATTGAGGTGCAGCATCGAACTGATTGTGGGATGGAGTTCCAGATTCTTGGACCCGCCACAGTGAGGGCCTTATCTCCTGCTTTCTTTGCAGTGCGAGGAATACGTAGGTTGCCTTTGGAGCCTAAGTTTCTTCGTGCTGGTGCTGTAAGATCCAGTGAGCTTGAAATGTATTCTGGAGATGAGTTAGTGGTTACTTTGTACATTGAGGATGTTTCAGGAGAAAACTAAAACCAAGTACCAAGTACCAAGTAGTTTCAAAGTCCTATATCTGGAGAACTATAAGTAGTGTAACTATATGTTCTTGGATATAATTTACCTGACTGCATACATACAAAAAAACATAAACTCATAAAAAACATAACGCGGAAAAGCCCTATGTTCTATTCATCGATCAGATGCATAGTTCAATTCAATTCAATTCAATTCAATTCAATTTATTATACTCGTCACGTAAAAAACATGAAAATTGATTTCCAGTGTGCATTATATATAGTTCTAGTTTTTGAACGCAATTGCTACGTTTATTTTACCTCCTGTAGTTGAAAGTGCTGTTGATTCAAGGGTTGTATCATCAGCTGAATCTGGTGTCACTGACGTGGATGCTTCTACAGAGAAAAAGAAAAATTGCTATCAATGTCAGCATTTCGCTGTTTAATTTGTAGGTGTTATGATAGAAACATGAGTATTATTTCAAACAACCTCCCGATTGTTAACTTTTCAAAGAATGACCGTTCCCCAAAGTTTTGTTTTATCCAATCGCTACGTATATTTTACCTTCAGTTTTTGTTGTTGATTCAGGGGTTGTACCATCAGCTGAATCGGTAGTTACTGATGTGGCTGCTTCTTCAGAGAGAAAAAAAATGGTCAATCCCTAAAAATGTTAGTACTGCACTGCTGAATTTTGCAGGTGGTGTAATAATGGAAACATGAGCATTAGTTTATACAAGTTTCTGCAGAAACTTATAATTGTTAACTTATGAAAGAAATGGCCGACTTTGTATTTACGATCTATAGTTACTGATGTGGCTGTGTCTTTAGAGAAAAAATAGTAAATTGATATCAATGTCGGCATTTGACTGCTGTATTTGCAGGTGGTGTTCAAATTGAAACATGAGCATTAATTTATACAACCTCCCGATTGTTGACTTTTTAAAAAGTGTCAATTCCCCTATATTTTGAAACACCAATTGATACGGTTTTTTTGTACCTTCGTCAGTAGAAAGTGTCGTTGATTCAAGAATTGCATCATCTTCTGAATCCGTAGTTGCTTCTACAGAGAAAAAGAAAACAATCTTTGGTCAATTTCTATCAATGTCAGCCTTTTACTGCCTAATTTGCAGAAGGTGTTTTGATAGAAACATAAACATAATATCATGCGATCAAGCTAAATGACTCGTTTGTCGACCCTGATCAATTTGGTTTTTTTTTTTACAGATTCGAAAAGAGCACAATCTCAGCATCACTGCTGTGAAGACTGCATGCTGATACCATCTTTAGTTGGAAAATAATGGAAGTCGGAACACTAAGAGACGGAAGTGATGTGATGAAGTGGCCCTATTGTGGCCTGAATCTCGAAACGAAAGGTCCCGACAAACGACTCATTTAGCTTGATCGCATCACTTAATTTAAACAACCTCCCGATTGTTTAATTTTTTAAAGATTTTTAATTTAATTTTTAAATCCAATTGCTACGTTTTAAAACCTTCAGTAGTTGAAAGTGTAGTTGATTCAAGGATAGTATCATCTTGTGAATCTGTAGTTACTGATGTGGCTGCTTCTACGCAGAAAAAGAAAAAAACGTTGGTCAGCTGCTATCAATGTCAGCATTTCTATGTTGATTTTGCAGGGGGTGTTGTAATAGAAACATTAGCATTAGTTTAAACAAGCACCTGATTATATACTATTCAAAGATATGGGCATTTATCTATTTTTGTATAATCCATTTGCTACATTTATTCAACCGTCAATAGTTGAAAGTGTTGTTGAGTCAAAGGTTGTATCAGTCTGTACAGGCCCCCAATTGTTTGCTTTTCCAAAAAATGGCCGTACTACTACTTTTAGTTGTTGAAAGAGTTTTACCTTCAGTAGTTGAAAGTGTTGTTGATTCAAGAGTTGTATCATCAGCTGAATCTGCAGTTACTGATGTGGCTGCTTCTACAGAAAAAGAAAGAAAACAATTGGTCAATTGCTATCAATGTCAGCATTTCACTGCTTAAGTTGCATGGTGTGTTATAATAAAATAATTAACATTATTTTATACAACCCCTCGATTATGTACTTTTTAAAGAAATTAGCTTTTCTCTATTTTTGTTTTATTGCAATTGCAACATTTCGTTTACCTTCAGTCGTTACACGTGTTGTTGATTCCAGAGTTGCATCGTCAGCTGAACCTGTTGTCACTGTTGTGGCTGCTTCTATAGAGAAATGACAACGTTCGTCAATTGAGTATTATTTTAAACAACCTTTTTTCAACAAATTGTCGTTTCCTGCTTTTTTTGTCTAAATCCAATTGCTACGTGTATTTTACCTTCAGTAGTTGAAAGTGTTGTTGATTCAGGGCATGTTTCGTCTTCTGAATCTGTAGTTACTGACGTGGATGCTTCTACAGACAGAAAAAAAACATTCCCTCAATCTCTTTCAATGTCAGCATTTCACAGCTGAATTTGCAAGGGGGCTTTATAATGGAAACACGAGTATAATTGTATACAACTTGCTGATTATGTCTGTTGTTGAGGCCGTGATGGTTGTCCTAGAGTCATGGTCGTCGACATTGTCATTTTCGTCTTCAGCGTCACGGTGATGTTGGTATGGTATAACGTTACATACGTAGTTTTTATATAAGTACCTTGCATAGTAGACGGCATTGGTGAATCACTCATTGAAACGCTTGATGGCTGATCTGAAGCAAGTGTCGAGGAAACTGACATTAAACAGAAAACAAATGAAAACGGCATACTTATTTCATGTAACAAAACATTCAATTATTGATATCTTAAATGGCGTCTTAAACATCGAGCATGCTTAGTCAAGTTGTCCCAGCGATAATAAAATGAAACTGTGGCAAGGTACGTTAATTGTACCTTCAGTAGTTGAATGTGTTGTTGATTCAAGAGTTGTATCATCAGCTGCATCTGTAGTTACTGATGTGGCTGCTCCTAAAGAAAACAAAATGGTCAATTGCTATCAATGTCAGCATTTTACTGTTTAATTTACAGGGTGTTGCAACAGAAACATGATCATTATTTTAAACAACCTCCAGATTGTTTACGTTAATCCAATGCTACGTTTATTTTACCTTCAGTGGTTGAAATTGTAGTTGATTCAAGAGTTGTATCATCTTGTGAATCTGTAGTTACTGATGTGGATGCTTGCAGGGAAAAAGAAAAACGTTGGTCAATTGCTATCAATGTCATCATTTCTAGGCTGATTTTGCAGGTTTTATAATAGAAACATGAGAATTAGTTATACAGTCTCCCGATTGTTTACTTTTTAAAGAAATGGGTATTTCTCAATTTTTTTAAAGTCCAATAAGGTCCATGCATATGACATCATCAGAGGCTATAGAGAGTTGCACAATTTGACCTCACTGAGGTCAAATCTCGCATATAAGTTAACCGTGGGCTAACGGCCGTGCATACCCTCTATCGCTACACTTATTTCACCGCCAATAGAAGAAAGTGTTGTTGAGTCGAAGGTAGTATCATCAGTTGAATCTTTTGTTACTGATGTGGCTGCTTCTTCAGGGAACAAAATGATCAATTGATATACTGCTTAAATTGCTAGATGTTATGATCGGAACATGAGCATTAGTCTTTACAGGCCACCGATTGTTTGCTTTCCCAAGAAATGACCGTACTGCTACTTTGATTTAACAGTTGAAAGAGTTCTACCTTCTTTAGTGGTTAAAGGTGTTGTTGATTCGATGGTTGTATCATCCTCTGAATCTGTGGTAACTGATGTGGCCGCTTCTACAGAGAAAATGAAAAACTTTGGTCAATTGCTACCAACGTCAGCATTTCAATGCTGAATTTGCATGGTGTGTAATAACAGAAAAATGTACATTATTTTATACAGGTCAGTTATTTTTTTCTTCAGTAGTTGAAAGTGTTGTTGATTCAAGGGTTGTATCATCAGCTGAATCTGGTGTCACTGACGTGGATGCTTCTATGGAGAAATGAAAACTTTGGTCAACTGAGTATTATATTAAACAACCTCCCAATTGTTTACTTTTTTAGAAGAAATTGCCGTTCCCGGATATTTAAATTCCAATTGCTACGTGTATTTTACCTTCAGTAGTTGAAAGTGTTGTTGATTCAAGGGTTGTATCATCAGCTGAATCTGGTGTCACTGACGTGGATGCTTCTATAGAGAAATGAAAACTTTGGTCAACTGAGTATTATATTATACAACCTCCCAATTGTTTACTTTTTAAAAAAAAATTGCCGTTCCCGGATGTTTAAAATCCAATTGCTACGTGTATTTTACCTTCAGTAGTTGAAAGTGTTGTTGATTCAAGGGTTGTATCATCTTCTGAACCTGTAGTTACTGATGTTGCTGCTTCTACAGAGAAAAGAAAATGATTTGGCCTAATTGCTATCAGTGTCAGCATTTATAACTGTTCAATTTGCAGGTGTTATGATGAGTATTATTGTAAACAACCTCCCGACAGTTTGTTTTTCAAATCCAATTGCTACGTTCCTTTTTTTTCTTTCAGTAGTTAAAAGTGTTTTTGAATCAAGGGTCAATTAATATCAATGTCAACATTTAACTGCTTATTTTGCAGGGTTGTTATAAAAGACACAGCATTAATGTTATTTTAAAGAACATCCCAATTGTTTACAGATTAAAGAAATAGCCGTTACGCTGATTATGTTATAATCCAATTACTACGGTTATTCTACCTTCAGTAGTTAAAAGTGTTGTTGATTCAAGGGTTGTATCATCAGCTGAATCTGGTGTCACTGACGTGGATGCTTCTATGGAGAAATGAAAACTTTGGTCAACTGAGTATTATATTAAACAACCTCCCAATTGTTTACTTTTTTAAAAGAAATTTCCGGTCCCGGATGTTTAAAATCCAATTGCTACGTGTATTTTACCTTCAGTAGTTGAAAGTGTTGTTGATTCAAGAGTTGTATCATCTTCTGAATCTGTAGTTACTGATGTTGCTGCTTCTACAGAGAAAAGAAAATGATTTGGCCTAATTGCTAGCAGTGTCAGCATTTATAACTGTTCAATTTGCAGGTGTTATGATGAGTATTATTGTGAACAACCTCCCAACAGTTTGTTTTTCAAATCCAATTGCTACGTTCCTTTTTTTTCTTTCAGTAGTTAAAAGTGTTTTTGAATCAAGGGTCAATTAATATCAATGTCAACATTTAACTGCTTATTTTGCAGGGTTGTTATAAAAGACACAGAATTAATGTTATTTTAAAGAACATCCCAATTGTTTACAGATTAAAGAAATAGCCGTTACGCTGATTATTTTATAATCCAATTACTACGGTTATTTTACCTTCAGTAGTTGAAAGTGTTGTTGATTCAAGGGTTGTATCATCAGCTGAATCTGGTGTCACTGACGTGGATGCTTCTATGGAGAAATGAAAACTTTGGTCAACTGAGTATATTAAACAACCTCCCAATTGGTCTAAATTGTTCTAACAATTAGGCCAAATCATTTTCTTTTCTCTGTAGAAGCAGCAACATCAGTAACTACAGATTCAGAAGATGATACAACTCTTGAATCAACAACACTTTCAACGACTGATTTGGACTGTTCTAAACAGAACAAAAAAACTACTTAGCAAAGTTGATAATAAGCAGGACAAGTTCTTCTCAGAACTAATATCTTCTAAGCAGTAGTTATTACCACATGGTGTTGCCGCAAACCGAAACGAAACCTCCCAATTGTTTACGTTTTTAAAAGAAATTGCCGTTCCCGGATGTTTAAAATCCAATTGCTACGTGTATTTTACCTTCAGTAGTTGAAAGTGTTGTTGATTCAAGAGTTGTATCATCTTCTGAATCTGTAGTTACTGATGTTGCTGCTTCTACAGAGAAAAGGAAATGATTTGGCTCAATTTCTATCAGTGTCAGCATTTATAACTGTTCAATTTGCAGGTGTTATGATGAGTATTATTGTAAACAACCTCCCGACAGTTTGTTTTTCAAATCCAATTGCTACGTTCCTTTTTTTTCTTTCAGAAGTTAAAAGTGTTTGGGGTTGTATCATCTTCTGAATCTGTTGTTACTGATGTCACTCTTGTACAGAGCAACAAATGGTCAATTAATATCAATGTCAACATTTAACTGCTTATTTTGCAGGGTTGTTATAAAAGACACAGCATTAATGTTATTTTAAAGAACATCCCAATTGTTTACAGTTTTAAGAAATAGCCAATACGCTGATTATGTTATAATCCAATTGCTACGGTTATTTTACCTTCAGTAGTTGAAAGTGTTGTTGATTCAAGGGTTGTATCATCAGCTGAATCTGTAGTTACTGATGTGGATGCTTCTATGGAGAAATGAAAACTTTGGTCAACTGAGTATTATATTAAACAACCTCCCGATTGTTTACTTTTTTAAAAGAAATTGCCGTTCCCGGATGTTTAAAATCCAATTGCTACGTGTATTTTACCTTCAGTAGTTGAAAGTGTTGTTGATTCAAGAGTTGTATCATCTTCTGAATCTTTAGTTACTGATGTTGCTGCTTCTACAGAGAAAAGAACATGATTTGGCCTAATTGCTATCAGTGTCAGCATTTTACTGTTTAATTTAGAGGAGGTGTTACAACAGAAACATGGTCATTATTTTAAACAACCTCCAGATTGTTTAATTTAATCCAATGCTACGTTTATTTTACCTTCAGTGGTTGAAAGTGTAGTTGATTCAAGAGTTGTATCATCTTGTGAATCTGTAGTTACTGATGTGGATGCTTACAGAGAAAAAGAAAAACCTTGGTCAATTGCTATCAATGTCAGCATTTCTAGGCTGATTTTGCAGGTGCTATAATAGAAACATGAGAATTAGTTTATACAGTCTCCCGATTGTACTTTTTAAAGAAATGGGTATTTCTCAATTTTTTAAAGTCCAATAAGGTCCATGCATATGACATCATCAGAGGCTATAAAGAGTTGCACAATTTGACCTCACTGAGGTCAAATCTCGCATATAAGTTAACCGTGGGCTAACGGCCGTGCATACCCTCTATCGCTACACTTATTTCACCGTCAATAGAAGAAAGTGTTGTTGAGTCAAAGGTTGTATCATCAGTTGAATCTGTTGTTACTGATGTGGCTGCTTCTTCAGAAAACAAAATGATCAATTGATATACTGCTTAAATTGCTAGATGTTACGATCAAAACATGAGCATTAGTCTTTACAGGCCACCGATTGTTTGCTTTTCCAAGAAATGACCGTACTGCTACTTTGATTTAACAGTTAAAAGAGTTTTACCTTCTTTAGTGGTAATTTTATAATCCAATTACTACGGTTATTTTTTACCTTCAGTAGTTGAAAGTGTTGTTGATTCAAGAGTTGTATCATCTTCTGAATCTGTAGTTACTGATGTTGCTGCTTCTACAGAGAAAAGAAAATGATTTGGCCTAATTGCTATCAGTGTCAGCATTTATAACTGTTCAATTTGCAGGTGTTATGATGAGTATTATTGTAAACAACCTCCCGACAGTTTGTTTTTCAAATCCAATTGCTACGTTCCTTTTTTTTCTTTCAGTGGTTAAAAGTGGTTTTGAATCAAGGGTTGTATCATCTTCTGAATCTGTTGTTACTGATGTCACTCTTCTACAGAGCAACAAATGGTCAATTAATATCAATGTCAACATATTTTGCAGGGTTGTTATAAAAGACACAGCATTAATGTTATTTTAAAGAAAATCCCAATTGTGTACAGTTTAAAGAAATAGCCGTTACGCTGATTATTTTATAATCCAATTGCTACGGTTATTCTACCTTCAGTAGTTGAAAGTGTTGTTGATTCAAGGGTTGTATCATCAGATGAATCTGTAGTTACTGATGTGGCTTCTTCTACAGAGAGAAAATAAACCGGTCATTTGCTATCAATGTCAACATTTTACTGCTTGATTTGCAGGGGTGTTATAATGCAAACATGAGTATGATTTAATACAACTTTATTTTGTTTACTTATGAATCTGTAGTAACTGACGTGGCTGCTTTTACAGAACAAAATTGGTAAATTGCTATCAATGTCAACTCTTTAGCTTTACTCATAATGTGCAGGTGATGTAAGAGAAACATGAGCAAAAGCAAATGTAACGTTTACTAGCTTTACCTGTTGTATCGGAAAGGGTTGTTTCAGCACTTGAATGGGTAGGCACAACTGTGGTTACTTCTGAAAGAGAAAAAAGGAAACTTGAGTCAACATTTGTTATCAATTTTACTGAATCGACTATTCCAATGCAGCAACATGTACCCTTCATAAGTATTACTTTTTGAGCCCGCCAGTAAGGGGCACATATAAATGATTTTTTTTACACGGAGCCTTTAATGATATGCAATCTTTATATTGCCGGAATTAAGGTTTCGTCGGGGCCTTTTATTATGCGGAGGCAAATTGCCATATCCATGACCGAAATCGTGATTTCACCGAAGGCAAACAATTCGGTGCATCGAGCATGTATCAACATAACTGCTTGAATTTGAGTGGGGTTTGCTATTTGACATTTTCTGCTGTAGTATTTCGTTGTTGATTCAAGGGCGGATCGGGGGGGGGGGGGGGAGCAAAACCATTTTGTTTTTATGTGACGTCGCAATAAAGGCAGGCAATGAGTACACCACCGTCTAGGCTAAAAAAAACATTGGTTAAAGTGGTCAGAAATTGCCTCAGATTGCACCACCGAGCATCTGGAATCCAACATTTTTTTCGCGGCCCTTAAGTGGGCCCCGATCCCCACGCCGTAATTTTTTTGACCCACTTTTTTGGGGGACAAAATTTTTTGGGCCCCCCTCAAAATTGTGTTCTGGATCCGCCCTTGTGTTGAATCAGCATGCATGACAGTCAGGTATTTCGAAAACATTATGCACAAAAATGTATGTTCCCTTTGAGCAATATTGTGGTTGATAACTGGTACTCTACAGATGACCCGTATGCTGTCAGAATTCTCTAGTATTTCAGATGACATTTGCGAAACTACGTATGCTGCGGCCATTAAAGTTTTATGCGTGGACTTATAATGGCCTAAACCGTAGATAATGTGCCAAAAGCGCCCTCATGTGTCAGGAAATTGGATGGTGCATTTGGAATTTTGAAACAGTCCAATCAAAACAAAATCGAATCAAACTTGTCAAAGTGTCTGAATATGTTCATGCTGTTCGGCGGAATGGACATGCGTATTAAACATGTCTCAGTGTCCTGAACCTTTAAACGATAAAATGTCACAGTTTTGCCAAGCACTGACGCACGGATCCTTTACACAACGATAAACGACTTCCTGTCTGGCGTCTTGACTTCGCTCCCATAGGAAAGCGCATATGTAAACAAAGCCATTACGTCATTAGGTCTCAGGTATTTTTGCGGTAACATGCGCGATACGGCCCAAGTGTGTCGTGCGTGCGCGTATGCGATACTCGGCGCGCGACTCAACGAGATTTCCTATAGGTCGGGGATTCAATGTGCGCGTATTGTTCTACATGTTCTATGCGTTGCTCTTTGCGCGGACGCGGCATATCACGCATGTAGACGTTCCGTGCACTTTGTACACAACTTGGCTCAGATGATTCGTTCATCCTTGTGTTGAGGATCCATGATTGACGATACTTTTCCCCTTTCGTACCGATAACCATAGCCTTGGACGATATCGGGCATGGCTCTGGTCCAACCGCGACGCCACCGTCCAACATTACGTAATAGGACTGCCCCATCGTCAGATTGGCCGAGGGAAGGAAGATCTGGAATGTGTCTTCTTTGGCGATCAAGCTGGCGTTTGACAACAGAGACACATCAACCGAGTAGACCAGACTACCATTCAGGTAGATCCTGACGAAGGCCGAGCTTGTGGGCAGGCTAACCTGCAGATAGTGGCGTGGAAAGAAAGGCCACCACAGCAGATGAGAAAAGATCAGACGAAGGTAATTGATCATGACCTTTACCCTGTTTATTCTCTGCGACCTTGCGGTACGCTAAAGGGTATAGTGTCCATATCAACGTATTTGTTTTCAATTTCGATTTCAAAGTAACATTTATTTTTATTCAACCACAACTTGAAATGAAATCAATTTTCAAGAAGAATATACATTGAGAGAAATCAAAGAAAGACATGTATAGGAAAAAAATAACAGAACATTCAATGAATTAATAGCTATAATGACAAGACCCCAACTGCTACGACGGTATTTGTAAATACTTCACCGCCAATGACCGTGACAATCACAGATGATCTCGCAGATGATCCGTAAATTTCAATTAGGTTTAGAGCGCCGAGAGTAGGCCTGTGCAAGTACACATATGTGACATTCCGTAAGCTGGCTTGTGGAAAAAAGTAACATCACAGATCGAAATATCAAGTTAGAGTACTACTCACGTTATGACTAAACATCAACTCGAGACGCCACAGATCTGACTCTGATGGATCAAGTGAAGCCCGAATTGCCGTAGGGGCATCATCTGAAACGAGAAACCACACAAAAGTAATTCAGATGTTCACAAAATTGCAGAAATCTTATGAAATCATCACGTATAATATGAATTATGCGCTGGTTTAACAACCGCAGTCGAATCACACTTATCTCGGGTTATTACGTACTTATCATCTCGAACACTTCATCCGTTTTATCTAAGTGTTCAAGCATCAATTAAAGAACAATTGACCAATATGTGAACTGCTTTAGCGTACAAGTGGTACGACACATGGCTATCAAGTTTCGACATTGGTGTCTTTTTCATAGTGAGCTAGCCTTTCGCCAATGCCATCGTGGCTTAGAGCGGCGGAGTTCCGAAGACCCGAAGCGACTGGAGCAAGGATTAAGTCAGCACGCACGAGTGGCAAAACCACGAGGCCTTTCCCAACTTGATTTTGTTGAATAATTCATAGTTTTTATGCAAATAAGAGGAGTGCTGAAGGTTAACCTATCACAACGCGGATTTTGCCTGGTCGCTTCCACTTTTAAAAGAAGGGTGAGTACTAACGTAAGAGCATGTAACTGTAAGTTCAGATGAAAAATAAGTTCATACACTCAAATAATTTCTTGAAATTAATTAGTAAATTTAAAATAAGTTAATATAAGAACATTTACACGGTCACGATCTCGTGGAAAACTAGACTCGCATTTTTTGTTTTTAAATTTTGTGCAGGCATCCGGGCGTGTCGACGCGTCCGGGTAGTAGCCACGCACGCACTAAAAGGCTGATGATTGGTTGCAATTTTGCTACCCTTTTGGGGTAGCAAAAATCGAGATTGTAAAGAAAAACATTAGAATTTCTCGACAAGATAGAGAAGGCCCTTGTGGCTTCGTCACCCGCGTGTGTGGTCTCCATCTGTAGACGCTTCGCGGCTTCGCCGCTTTGTCTAATGCGGGCAAGTTAAGCCACGATGGCCTTTGGTGAAAGGCTAATAGTGAGCGGGCTACTCTAATATCTCAACGCACACGGGTCCCTCCTTTTCTTTTCAGTAAGATTGGTACATGTGTATAATTTACAAGGTCGGTCAGCCAGCCAGCCAGCTGGGGAGCAAGCCAGCCAGCCAGCCAGCTTGGGAGCAAGCCAGCCGGCCAGCCAGCTGGGGAGCCAGCCAGCCAGCCAGCCAGCTGGGGAGCCAGCCAGCCGGCCAGCCAGCTGGGGAGCCAGCCAGCCAGCCAGCCAGCTGGGGAGCAAGCTAGCCAGCCAGCCAGCCAGCTGGGGAGCAAGCCAGCCGGCCAGCTGGGGAGCAAGCTAGCCAGCCAGCCAGCCAGCTGGGGAGCAAGCCAGCCGGCCAGCCAGCTGGGGAGCCAGCCAGCCAGCCAGCCAGCTGGGGAGCAGGGGAGCCAGCCAGCCAGCCAGCTGGGGAGCAAGCCAGCCAGCCAGCCAGCCAGCCAGCCAGCTAGCCAGGCAGTCGGGAGTCAGTCGGGGAGTCAGCCAGCCAGTCATTCAGTTAGTCATTGAGATAGCAAGGAAGACACTAGGCTAACACTATTGGACAAACCAAATAGGCCATCAGCCTGGGGGTTTGGCCGGTATCAAATCAGGGCATGAATGATTACAGTGTGCATGCGCAAGGTATACCGCCCCTAGAGTGGTAACAAGCATTTTTAAGGACATTTTGAAAAAAAAGTGATAACATCCAAAAAGCTGCCACTGCTGCAATGCTATCACATATTTTCCAACCCTGGAGGTGTGAACCTTGCCAAAAATCGCTATGACGATTATTCCCCTCATTTGATACCGGTGGCCAAAATTTTGGACCGAGGCTGATGGCCTAAAAAGAAATCAACTTGCATACCTTCCACTCTGAGGTTTACACATCTCGTAGGACTGGTGCGGCTGAAAAATGAGGCAAGACATTTATTTTGGTCAGAAAACATTAATGGATACAATAATTTGGGACGGGCACTCGGCAGCAAGCCGTCGAAATGTTTCATCACATTTCAAATTGGCTACTTTCACACATATGATTTTAAAACAAACGAGGCAGTTTATGTTTTATCCTCTTCAATAACAATAATAAAGAAAGCATATTGCAATTTCCGACTCTTTCCTCTCTATATTGCATGATAGGTTAAACGACCGTATGTCCAAATACAGGGTGAGTCAATAAAAGCGGAACCCAAACCCAAAAATAATATTTCATATTAAAAAAATATGTGGCACCCAAACATTTATAATGACTGGAAAGCCATTTCATAATCAACTATTAGATGTGATTTCAATGACTCTTCTACTAAAAGAAAGCTTATGAATTGGGCGTTCATTTTCTAGATTTTGAAAGTGCTACATGCAGTACTTCACTAAAGCAATGGTCCGACATTTGGGTTTCTCTTTTTTTTTTACTCACCCTTTATGTTCTTACTTGTTCTCATCTTACCTGTTTTCGTCTAAGGCGGAGAAGCACACCACATGTCGGCCTATTTGACTCTCAGTCGGTGTCCATGTCACTGTCGTAAAATATTCATCCGGTCCGGCAGAATTGTTGAAATAGGAGATTGCAGAGGTTTCCAAGTTTGAAGGCGAGACTTTTTGAAACAGGACTATCCTGCAATTAAAAAAAAAATGAAGAGAAAACTTATTCTTAAAATGTATCTCTTGGTAATAAGATATGATTTTGTTCACAATCAACATTTTTGAGGGTACTTCAACCTATTCGTCTACAAACCCTCAAACAGGACATTCGGTGGTGGATATTTTTGTGTGCACAAAATACTTTTGGTAGGAAGAGATTTAGTGGATATACGTTGCAGGTTGTCAAGCACCTTATATTGGAATGGTGTTTTAATAAATGTAAGCAATACAATGACTTTGCAATGATATAATGTGTTTGGTAATCTATGGTAATAGTGATATAGAGTGCCACAGAGTCACTTTAAAAGGCACTTTAAAAATAACTTGAAAAAAGTAAGACTGCTGCAAACTGCTTACTGACTGGGTGGACCTGAAATATATAAATCTAAAAGTTAATGTGGCCTGACGTTGCGAACTTAGCAAGTTCTTCTTCAGAGGCTAAAACAGAAATGACAGAGGTACATACATTAACATGGGGGTGCACACAAACATGCAGGGATGAAAGAAGAAACACAAAAGGAGGATAAGGTGGGAAAGGTGTGGAAAGATGCAGGGGAGGGTGGATGAGAGAACATCTACTAAAACATAAGGGTGGATGAGAGAACATCTACTTAAAAATAACTTATACAATTAATTGTTGCATCTGAATATCGGCCCAAAATGAAAAAAAGAACAGCCCCTGGTGTTGTATGGAACCGTGGTTTTGAATCGTGAAAGAAAAACCCTGGGTATGTGACTGGGTCTTGTTATGATATCTATGTCGTACTCACTCAGCAGTGATGCCGCGTGCTGCTCGGATTGGAAAGCTCAACTCCATTCCCGGTGCGATCCCATAACACGCACCGTCCTCCGGTGTCGGGGCTACGAATGATGGCTTATCGGAGCAGGGGTCGGGGCTGTAGTAAACTTGGATCAGGAACTGAAGAGGAACACTGCTCTTGGGTGTCGTTGAGGATGCTGAGGCGAAGTCCTCCACGTTAATTGTAACGGCATACCACCCAATCGACAAGGATGAACCGAGGGCCAAGACACAGGTTTCCTTTGCCGAGATAAACAAAAATACAAAAAGATTGAGCAAGACACGATGTTTTGTTGAGAGGCGTCTTGTTTCACATACGCAATACGTTGCGGACTGTGGACCATACACCTCGTGTGGGAATACTGTACTGGTTCGCGCGCAAAGTCCGCACGACACATTTATCCCGACTATGCACGAAGTCTCCCAGACTAATCCCCGCCCCCAATAACTTTGGATCATTCCAAATACGCAGTGGATTTTTTATTTCAATTCAATATTACATTCATTTCCATACTGAAACAATAACATAACAGAAAGCTTAATTGATTGGTCAATGCTATTCCAAAGACAGGGACCGTAAAAGCGAAGTGTGTTCATGTAATGGATGGACCGGGAACCAGTCTAGGTCTCCCCTAACTATTTTTTTCTGGCCGTTGAAGGGGTACTTGTGCACGGAGCTCACAGCACTGGTGTATCCAGGTTTTTGGTCTGGTATTGAGTCAATATGCTATCAAATTACCAAAGATTGGAGGGATCCCAGGACACAGTAGTCCCTAGTCGTGGTACAATTCGTTACTTGTTGATTTTATTCCCATCACGCGTTTCATTTTATGAGCTTTGCATTGGTATTGTTTATCGATAGAGGGAGCATCTTGTTTTGCGCTTTTAATAATGTAGTTACGTCATGGAATATTATTAAAGGGGCACTGCGTCCTGAAATCCCAGAAAAGTTTTTTTTTTTTAATGTTAACTTATCCTGTTTCAAACATATGGTTGAAAGGAAACAACCTAATATCTTACCGTTCCTGAGAAAAGACGAAAATAAAACCCGACTTGTTTACATCGGACTCGACGGAGTATGATACGTGTTTCCTGCCGTTTTTATACAATGTACGATCCACGCTGTGTGTGTCTAGTATTACACACGTACACAGCACCGCGCTCACGAACAGCGGTGACCAATCACAGATGCACAAAATGCGATTTTTTTTTACACGTCCACAAAAGTTGAACCCTTACGGCTGGAAACGCAACTTGCACGAACAGCCGACTTTTGGGGGTTGAAAAAGTGGACCCCGAAAGTCGTTCTCGCACGAATAACACAAAGAATACTACAAAACCGCCCAGTTTTTTAAAGGATAGTTGTGTGAATGTTTATATACAACTTCTAAATGATCTTTCCGATTAACATCATTTTGTTCAAAACGCGTTTTGTAGCCCAATTGGGCGTATTCCCGGACGCCGCGCCGTGTCCCTTTGAGGGCCTAAACGGGCTTTTGAAACCAGGACCATCACACGCAACTTTCATGATCAATCAGACACATATCTGTCACGTCTCATATTGAGGTGTAGTCGTAACGTGAGTTATACGCTGAGTAATTTACTTCTTTATATGTTAGATATAACTTTTTAAGGCAAAGATGTGTAATTGTCGGACTCATCAAACAGTCCATCGATAACGGGCACGGTACCTGTCAAATTAAAATGACTCTAAGAAACCTGGGTTCAATGATAGTTCGCAACGTGTCACAAAGCAAGCTGCATCCACGATATGGCATAATTCTCAGAGAGTGAGTCAGGTAGAAATACAGGGTGAGTCACAAAAGACGAAACCCAATGTAGGGACCATTGTTTTAGTGAATTTCTGCATGTAGCACTTTCAAAATCCAGGATGTGAAAGCCAATTTATAAGCTTTCTTTCGGTACAAAAAAATCATTCAAATCACGTATGCGCTCTTTATCTTAAAATTACGGAATCTTAAACACAGCCACCGTTTTAAAGTTCTGTCCACGGATCACACAAAAATAAGTGTGCGTTCTTTCAGCAAAATGAAAACAATTCACACACATCCCTATGTGATTGTTTTCGGTGGTTGTGTTAAAATAATTGTGTGAAAATTGCTACTGTAACATTTTTGTCCGCTCATCACCGGCATGCGCATAGCACAATTTTGATTTAAAAGTGAATGCCAGTACATTGGTGTTGGGTGTTGCCGCTCCATGATAGTATTATAATAGATTTCAGTCTCACTTTCCGAGTACTTGATGATACGGAATTATGCAATTGCTGTTAGCTATTTAGTAAAATCAAAACTCAATAACGCCGAAGGGGTCAAAGACAACTTGAAGGCAATGACAGGGGGAAAACTAAATAATTTAAAGACAGCAATGGCCATCCATGAGTTTGTGCCTGGTGAATAAGATCCGGTGTAGCGTGAATATCCGACTCCATGAAATGTGACTCATTGGTAGTACTGCGCACGCGTGAGTACGATACTATGCTATTTTTAGGATCGTTTCGGGAGAGTGACAATGTCACGTGCGAGGGATTAACCAATAATAGGGCAAAAGGGTCCGGTTTTCATAGCAGTCGGATTTTCATGTGACATGGGCACTATTTTTTAACCCGAATTCAAGTAATGAATGATACGCGACGGGGCGTGCGTGGTCCATATCTCACTGTTGGGGGATTTCATTGTAGCGTAGCAATAGGGGTGCATATTACACAGGTTAAAGGGGTGCAAAACAAGGGTCACGAATTTCCCTAAAGTCTTGGAACCGGAAAAGAACAGAGTAAGATTTTAAACAAATTGAAAAATGGAACAAATGTTAAGGTGTTGTGGGAATTTACCGTATCTAGAGTTGTATGAGGCATGGTGGTCACCCCCCCTCTTTCCGCAGATCCCTCCGACCAGCGACATCTCGCCACGTCATCATCCGGGTCTGTAACTGAATGATGAGTTACGTCACTATTATTATGACATTGAAAACTTTAATACTTACGGAAGCCCGTTCGTACGGAAGCCCGTTCGTTCCAGGTTTTAAAGTGTAAAAAAAATATAATAATTTTCAAAATCACGCAATACTTTTTCGAAATAAACCTTTATCAGCGCTCCCCATTGAAAATATGGCACTAGGCCCCCCAAAAAACGTTGACGTTTGGAGAACAAAAAAAGGTTTACATTTCAGGCCTCCACCCTTTAAAAAATTGTGGATCCACCCCCGGTAGCGCATCCCCCCCCCCCCCCCGCCCACAAAACGATATATATAGGCTATAAAACTGCGTCTGACAGGTCTCGCAAAATCTATCCATCAGAGCTTAAATTCATCAGCCCTTCCCAGCGTCCTGTTTGCAGGGCTAGGGCGGGGGTACGAGTAGTCTGGGTTGCGCTCGGTCTGTGCCTATATAGTAAATCCACTCAGGGTGCAGTCAACTAATTCAAGTGAGAATTTCTACGCGAGCTGATTAGCATAAAAAGTGACCCCACAGTTTCTTTTGAAAACGGGGACCATTTGGCTTTAAAATGGTGAAATTGTGTAAATGTATCCCAAGATCAACTCCCTGGTTTTTGGGCTTCCATCTGAGGGCAGGCTTGGTAAAATAACGCTTGAAAAATGGGTCCTATTTGCCTGAGAAAGTGGAAGGATGCAACTTGTAAAACGGCTACATGCAGGCTTGGGAACTATCACTTTCCGGGAGGTGATTTTGTTTTGTGTGAAAGTTTAAAAATGTAATCGGCTAGTCTACCCAAAATTGAAAAGAAATGAAAAGATGAAGTACAAGACAATAATTTAATTTTTGTTTGAGAAACCCCAGTGATGTCGGCTTGTATGTTATTTGGCCCTGAACTTTGTTGATTTTACACTGTTTTCAATGGAGCTTGAATTGGTTCAGTGCACCCCTCACAGCGCATATCGAATATGTCCTTACAGTACATAACGCGCGCCCTCATGCGTCGAATCCGGACCACATGTTAAAAACGTACATGTTATTTTCAAGTGATGCAACAACCCACTTTTGCACCACATGTATGCAGATGCTCTGCAATACATGCACACACATGCACGAGTAATACGCGTGTTGTACAATGTACATACAGTGTGTGCGCATTGTTATACGGCACTGAAGTGGAATACGCGCTGAAGTGTACTTTGTCGGGCATCTGGAAAGACGTAAACTGAGTGATTTTGCTCCTTTTTTTTGAGATACCAACGTAAAGCAATTCCGACTTGAGTCAAGTCTAGGGTACGAGCGAAGTCACGTTTGGTCGTAGCCTTCACCAAGGCTATCAGCTTGTTCCCATACGAGCGAGCTTGTTCCCATACGAGCGAGCTTGTTCCCATACGAGCGAGCTTGTTCCCATACGAGCGAGCTTGTTCCCATACGAGCGAGCTTGTTCCCATACGAGCAAGCTTGTTCCCATACGAGCGAGTTTCCCGCTACCGCACACCGCGCGCGCAGCGACACAATGTTGTACTATACCGTTAGCCCCAACGACCCTTGCGTGTGCTTTGTATGCAAGTACGTACGCCCCCAAAACACTTCCGCAAACAGCCGCACAGTAAGTCGAGGCGGTATCTTCCGCCTCGACTTACTGTACGGCTGTTTGCGGAAGTGTGTGTGGGGCGTACGTACATGCACACAAAGCACACGCATGGGTCGTTTGGGCTAACGGTATAGTAAACGCTAGTAATTGTGTCGCGGCGCGCGCGGTGTGCGGTAGCGGGAACAAGCTCGTATGGGAAAAGATAGCCTTGGTCAAGGCTAGTTTGGTCACTGTCGGACAGTATATGGTGCTCTTCATTGCGGCACAATTGCCGACGTTCGCAGGACGTTTGCAAAAAAGCCACTCGTAAAAAAGGGCATTCGTAAAATATGGGGGGATTATTAAGCCTCCTTACACCCCTGATGCTACTGCTTAATCACACTCCAATACCCTTATTAAAGACAACAACCCTAACGAATATATGTCTAAGACCTTTTTCTCTGCCTGTACGATTAATAATGCAATTGGCGTCCTGTCGACGAAGAATTATAGAATGCTTACCTGGAATGTGTAATTCTTGCGAGCATCCATGCTGCACACGAATTGTCGACATCGAAGTGTTTGGGGAGGAGTTGATCACACCGTTGTAGGGATTGAGGTCTACGTGGGCTAGAGCGTCGTAACGCGTCCAACCGCCATTATTAAGAGTAATCCAACAGCAATTGTCGTAGCTGTAAGAACCCAAAATAAAGCCTGTCAGACCTGTCGAAACCAGCAATAGGTTTCTCATGTATAAAGCGCTAAGAGTATGATTGTGTGTACGAGTTAACAGGAGTTGTTACCGTGCACAGTAGGGTAACACGCGCCACTAAAGGCGGGGCTGGGGGGGGGGGAAGTGGGGGAATGGATGTTGCATCCGTGCTGAAAGGTAGACAGGTTTTATTCAACGGTCATCCGACCCCCATCCCCCTTGACTACGCCATTTCATGTGAACAAAAGATTTCCACAGGATGTGGGAGCTCAAGACGTTATGTCAAGTCCACATTACAAGTGCAAGTGGCATTTTTTTGAAACTTGATTGGTTTCAACTGCACGTGATTGATTGGTTTTAACTGCGAAGAGGGCGACAGGCGTAGCCGCCTCATTACTCCCCGCGAAGCAGGCGATGCGAAGCCTCGTTAACAATAGTCCAGAATTTCGTGTGCAAAGAAATTGACATGTACCTTGCAATGTTGATGTCACGATCAAAGATAATAATAATAATATAATACCGGAGTCTTATATAGCGCACGTATCTACTAACAATTAAGTACTCAAGGCGCTGGAAATTATGTCTATTATCAAAGACAACTAAATGTAGTTTATGAGAAATATGAGACCCATTATGTAGCACCTGATAAGGGTGTACAAGGTGCTGCGGCGCATGTTGCAGCCACTGCAAGAAACACCGGGGCAAACCCCTTCTCTTAGCGATGAGTGTTACTAGCTTCTTTAATGTGCATTACACAACACACGAGATCCACGGCTTTACGTCCCATCCGAAGGACGAAGCAATAATGGTAAAGTGCCTTGCTAAAGAGCACAACCACCATGTTCCCACGGTCAGGAACCCATGTACCACGGCACACGAGTCCAACACCGTAACCATTGGACCACACCAATCGCACTGTCGTGGTGTCAGTCTGTGTGGGCTCGAACGATAAATGATAAATTTATCTTGCAACTTTTCATGCTAGTGTTGTTGAGTTTTTCGTATTAAAAGATCTTTTTTTGGGGGGGGGAAGCAAGATTTATACCTGATGTAAAAATCTTCCATCCCTGGGTCAGCGGTAAATGTTGTACTGCCGATACCCGTCTGCCAGTCCTCTACTTCGCTGTAGTCTGTACAACGATATGATTTACTCAGGTATGTGGTGCTGCAGTTGGAGCAGACTATCTTCAGTGTCCCGCCGGGGTCAATAGAAACCATGCTGGCAATGTTGGCCTCGGTGCACCGGGTCACATGCGATCGAGTAAACGTGAACCTCCACCCGATAAATATCTTAGATCAGACAAGGGTAAATAAAAGAGATACATTTCTTGAACAAACATTATGGACCGTTTTTACAACTGCCCATGCTTTGAAGGGGTTTTTTTAAGCTGAGTGACAACCAGAAATTACACACAGGTGTTCAAATACAAATGAAATTGTAATACTTTGAGTCAAGACTGATACAATATTTTTACTGTCGACTTTTTGTTTTGTATCTGAGGAACAAGTCAAGTCATTTTTTGCGGAAATGACGATAGTGATTTTTGTCTGTTTTCCTTTGCACGTTTTCGTTCATTTATGTGGGTAGGTAAACCTCCATTGTTCATTGTATTTATAAATACGTATCTGTAAATTATAATTTAGTGACCAGCTGCATTTTGTGGTACATGTATTTCTATTTAAATAAATATAACCTGTCAGTACAGAGTATGCCAATTACGTGAAATGTTTACAGTTATAATATACTTATGTTATTTTTAAAAGGAGCGAGCCACACATTTTTGAACGATTTGTTTAGTCACTTTTTTTTTGTTTAGTCACAACTTGGTCACATTTTTTACTGGCCCTATGTGAAAATGATGTGGATTCGTTTACACTGTAATAATACACTAAAACTAGACTTGTGTTGCAGTGTCGTCAAATAATTTTTAAAATGTTTGCAACCATTTCCATCATGGTAAAACTGTTATTTTTAAGATTGAAGCATGCTAATGTACCACGACAGCTGACCTATATAATAAGTGCCAACTGAGAAATATTGTGTCACATATGCATATGTTTTATGACGTATTTATATGCTAGTCTTTATGTTGCGTTTTTTGTATAATTACTCATTTTGTAGAAATATTGTTTTACTTTTTAATTTAGTCTCATATCAGTTTCTTGCCAACCTGTTTCGTATGGGATTTTTTACACTGTTATCTTATTGTGGCATTTTTTCCCCTCATTTTTGGCATCGTCTCCATTTCGGCTTCAGCCTTGCAGCTGTCTCAAATATCGAAATAAAATGAATAAATTAAATATTAACACTCACTAAAGAGTCCATTGGACGTTGGCTTTCTCTAAAAGAAATGCTACATTAAAATGTTGAGTAAAAATCACAGAACGTCAAAATCTTAAAATTTGAAGCTAAAGCCCAAGATGAATTAAGAATTTAAGACATGGGTCGCAGAATCTTTTATGGGTGATCGGAAGCATGAAGTGAAGGGTATGCAACGTTGCAGCAAGGGGCAGTTTGCTCAACAAGTTAACTATGGCGTGCAAATATAACATTTAATCCAGAAATAGAGATATCTGTATTTTAAAAGAGATGTCTCTATTTGAAATAGGACCGGACCATTTCACACAATATGGGGGATTCTACAATCCCGGCCAAAATGGTTGGGACACTTCCTGAGCCTGCCACGGTCACCCACTCCCCCGCTCCCCCGGTCAATGTTGTTCTCTCCAGCCGATGGAGCACACACCGCGCAATGAGAGACAACATTGAACGGGGGCCGGGGGCTTGGGGGCCCAGCGAGATTTGGCCAGGATTGTAGCTGCCGAACACAGTATCTAGAATATGCATGTACACGTACACAACACAAGTTTTGAAGTGAAAAACCGTTCAGCTGAATGAAGTATTAATGTAAGAAGTATTCATGTTTTGTTTAGCACATTATCAATGGTATGAATACAAGATTTGATAAGCAAACCACTTATTAATATGATACGTACTATGAAGGCGAGATAACGCAAACCATGCACAAATCACCCCTCTCGGGACTAATATGCTTACACTTACACTTACACTTACGATTTAATGGGAATAAGTATTAGGCTTTATAAGCCTTTATGACCCCATATCTCTTCCAGTACTCGTCGAGCTCATGTTTGAAAGAATTTGTGGTCTTGGCATTCACAACATAACTTGGTAGATCGTTCCAAGTGTTGACTACTCTCTGGGAGAAGAAGTCTTGCCTGCATCTCAGAGCTTTGTTCATCCCACTCTTAAAGATCTTCATGTTGTGTCCTCTTGTTTCTCTTGTGTTGGAGATTTTGAAGAATCTTGTTGGTTCTGTTTTGTCAAATCCGTTGAAAATCTTGAACACTTCTATAAGGTCGCCTCTTGTTCTCCTTTGTTCTAGGCTGTACAAGTCGAGTGCCTCTAGCATGTCTGGATAGCTAAGATGTCTTACAGCAGGAACCAGTTTGGTTGCTCTTCTTTGCACCTTCTCCAATGTGTGGATATCTTTCCGCAGCCCTGGGTTCCATGCTTGGACGCAGTATTCAAGATGAAGCCTTATGTATGTTTTGTACAATACAGCAAAACTATCCTTGGTTATATGCTTGAAGGTTCTCTTGATAACTCTGAGGCTATTCATCGCTTTCTGGGCAGACTTTGCACACTGAACAGACGACTTACAGTTGTTGCAGATATACACTCCCAAGTCTTTTTCTTGATCTCTTTCTTGTAGTTTGGTATCTCCCATCTGGTAGATACATCCTGGGTTGTTGTTTCCCATATGCATGGTTTTGCATTTGTCTGCGTTAAACCGTAGGAGCCATGGACCAGTTCAGCAGTGCATCGATATCACTTTGTAGTTTGACTGCGTCTTCCGGTGACTTTATCGTGAACAGTATCATCGGCGAACATCTGAACATTTGATTTTACTGTTCCAGGTAAGTCGTTGATTTACAGGATGAAAAGAAGCGGTCCTAGCACCGATCCTTGAGGAACTCCGCTTGCAACGTCTGCATGACTTGATTCAGCATTCCTTACTGCTGCTACCTGAGATCTGTCAACTAGAAATCCCTCAATCCACTTGGCTATCTTTCCTTCAATTCCATATGTAGACAGTTTTCCTAGTAGTCGTCTATGTGGGACTGAGTCGAAGGTTTTTTGGTAGTCCAAGAAGATGATGTCTACTCCGCTGCCCTCATCTAAGTCATGGGTAACCGTTTCTAGTGTTTCAAGCAGGTTTGTCAAACATGATTTACCCTGGGTGAATCCGTGCTGCCTGTCAGATAGTATCTCATAATGTTGTACGAACTCAGTCATCTTGTCCTTGATTAATGACTCCATTACCTTGCAGGGAATGCATGTCAGGCTAACTGGCCTGTAATTACCAGATTTTGTCCTAGATCCCTTTTTGAAGATAGGGGTTACCCTGGCTGTTTTCCAGTCTTTAGGTAGTTCTCCACTGTCAAGTGACTTTCTGTAGACATGGTACAATGGTAATGACAGCTCCTCACTGCATTCTCTGAGTACTTTGGGGTGAATCTGGTCTGGCCCTGGGCACTTGTCTGGTTTTAATTTGTCAAGTTTTGCTTTGATGTCGTCGTAGGTGAAGTTCAAGTCATCCAGGATGATGTCAACTACCCTTGAAAGTTCTGGGATCTCCCCATCTGGCTCTAGGGTGTACACCGACTGGAAGAATCTTGATAGCTCCTCTGCTGATTCTTTATCAGTTTTTGTCAGATTTCCGTCTACTGTTTCCAGCTCGGAAGCTCCAACTTTAACTTTCTGGTTTTGTCTCACGTAGCTGTAAAAAGCTTTTGGCATTTTCTTCAATTCTTTCATAAGCCGCTCTTCGTGCTCTGCTTGTGCTTTCCTCACTATGCTTCTTGTCTTGTTGCTTTGTTTCTTGTACTTTTCATAATCATGGTATGCCTTTGATCTCCTGTACCTCTGGTACAATCTATGTTTCTTTTTGACAGACTTTGTGACATGTGAACGAAGCCATGGGGGTTTACTCTTCGTTTTTGGTTTTGTCCTCGGTACATTTTCCTGGACTGCCTGGTTGTATTCTTGCTTTAAATACTGCCATGCCTCTTCACAGTTCATGTCTTCCATCTTCTGTTCCCATTCAACTGCTCCAAAGTAGTCCCTCATGCTGACATAGTCTGCCTTGTTGAAGTTTAGTCTTCCTCCGTTCTCCTCTTCCCTTGACGTGATGTCAGAGCTGCATACGTAAGTCCACGTTAAGCCAACATGGTCACTCTTTCCCATCGGAGCTACATCTCTAAGATTTTCAACCATGTACTCTTCGTTTGAGAAAAGCAAGTCCAGGATTGAGGACTGTTGACCGTCTCTGTGTCTGGTAGGCAAGTTGACATGTTGAATGAGGTACAAATCCTGCGTTGTGTCAAAGAAATGGCTGGCTGGGTGTTGTTCACCCGTCCTTACTTCACTTGTTTCCCAGTTTATTTGTGGGAAGTTGAAATCGCCAATTATAAGTAAGTGGCTCCTCTTCTTTTCTCCTACTATCTTTAGTAGTTCTAGTAATTTCTCGTTGTTTTCATCAGTACTGCTGGGGCTACGGTAACAGACTCCGACTAGTAGGATGTCATTCTGATTTAACTTAACCTCGCACCAAGCTGAGCTTTCGAATTCAGAGTCATTTAAATCTTCACATGGTATTACTTGCAGCGATTTATGCACGTAAAGTAACACACCTCCTCCCGATGATACCGACTTGTCCTTTCTGATAAGTACGTAGTCGTCCAGGGAAATCTCACCGTCTAAAACTGTACTGTCACACCATGACTCCGATATACCAATAATTTTTGGTTTCAAAAGGTCCGTCATAGTAATAAACTCTCCTCTCTTGTTTAAAATGCTGTTGGCATTTGTATAGTAGCAGTCCAAAAGAAATCTTGGTCTACTAAAGTTTGTTTCTTTCTCTGCTGGTGGTGCTTTCCACATAGTGCTATTTGTGCTGTGTGGTGCAATAGGTGAAATAGGTTCGGTTGGATCTACATGTACATTCGCATTCACCTCCTTTCTTGCTGAAGGCCTACTTGGCGTTTGCAGGGGTTGCGATGATCCAATTTGTTTCTTCAACTGTTTCTTGGGATTTTTCCCGTGCTGAGTTGTAGAAAATTGTTCAGGTAGCTCACTCGGCTTCTGTTTATCTCTTCCAAAATCCCTTACCGCAGTTGTTCCTCTCGACTTCTGCAGGGAATCTGTGCTTGTGCTTTGTGCTGGTGCAGTGGTGCTTAGTTGTCTTAAAATGGCGTCTGCTTTACGTCCCACCAGATGCTCCTGGCAAGCTGGGAAGAACGTCCCTCTGACTCTGCCCACGAAAGGAACCTCTGTTACTTTCCACTATCTTTCCATTTCGTATCATGACCTCTTCACCATTGTCCCTTCTGGCTTTCAATTGTTCTCTCAAACACTTGTTGGTTTCTCTTTCCTTTGGGGTTTGGTCCGGTGATATAAATATCTTGGAAAGGTCATCATGTTTACTGCTTTTCAGGCTCTTAGCTTTTGAGAGTGCTTGTTTCTTGATTTCTATGCTCTCCAAGGTGACTCGAAGTAGTCTAGGTTTACTTGGGTCTAGCTTCTTTCCCAATCTGACTGGTTTCATACTCTCATTTGAGTTTTCTATGCCAAGGTACTCCAGGACTTCTGTCGCCTTGTTGCAGTCGTACTGCTTCCTCGCTTCTGTGTCTTCATCGGTAGACTCGGGAATACTGTGCAGTATTATGTTACAACCTCTTTTTTCCCTATCTTTTTGTTCTTCCATGTACAGATTGACTTTAGTTTCCACAACGTTATCAAGGCTGCTTTCCCTTTTGTTCATTAATTCAGCCATCTTGTGCATTGTCTCAGCAACGTTATCAAGCTTCTTAATTACCTCTGCCAAGCTTGTGCTGTCTGGAATGGTGCCTGCTGTGGTCTGCCTTGCTTCGCCTCTCAGTAGTTTCACGACATCGGCAGTGCACGAGTTACAAAACCACATGAGATTGTGTCTCCCCTTGTCAAGGGCCTTCATCTCTTGATTATTTAAGCTTGCACAGGTCTGATGCGTCCACAAGCAGCATTTTTGACACATGACAGATTTCTGAACTTCATCATTTATTTCTTCTGCACATAGATTACAGTCCGTAGCCACAACATCCCCTTTAGTGGTCGTAGTATCCTCTCTACTATCGTGTTTATTCAGTTCACTCAGCGAGTCGCCATGTTGGATTTTACGTTTGACCACGGGCGATTTTTTCAATCCGCCACCATCCTCGCTGTTTGACTTTCCTCTTGTATTTCTTCCCATCGTAAATGAGATATGGGGTCCTAGTACTTAATATACCATACACTATTCCCACCAAACCGTTTACGGTCCTCTCCTTTCTTGACTTTTATTCTCGATCAGCTCGACACTCACAAAAACACGTCCGCCATCTTGACCAGTGCCCTCTACACCATGGTCCAAAAAACATGAACTGCAAAAAGACTCATTTTGTCGATATCCAGAGAATATTATGTAAATAACAGAAAACCTACGGTATGAAGGTATATTCATGCACTGAAAACTGTAGTTTTAAGGCGTTGAATTGGTGAAAAACGAACAATCAAGAGGACACAACGAAGATCAGTTTCCAACGGGTGCTTCGATAATGCGGCAAGACGAACACGTGGCCTGACCTTGTTCCTCGTTCAGCCAATACACGTGGTTACTGTATGCATGGAGCCAGACTACAGATGCACGTTGCATATTATATACTGTTGTGGCGCTCTTATGTAATAACGGACGTGGCGCTCTTATGTAATACCAGACGTGCGCTCTTATAATATAAATTCTTCTAATACCCTCCTAATCTTGTGTGGCTAAGCACGCCCGTATTCATTGTTCGTTGCAGTTGGCTTCAGGGCGTTGGCTCCGTCATGACTTTCTGTACCATTTTCTGTAGTCCTATTAAATTATTTGGAAGCAGAGTTTAAGTTTCCTGTGTTTGGATTTGAGTTGTCCAATGTCTGTTCTTATAAATTCCTAATTCGCTACATCACAAGCATCATAAGAAATGGTGGAAGATCCGCACCAACTCCGTGTTCCTACACCGAGCTTTCCCGGTCCTTTATTCCGGACTCTGACGGCCAACGCCCCGGTCAGCTGCCCTTGCCGGGCACGGTAATTTTTTTTTTTTTTTCAAAGTGGCATCAGTTTCGTAGGTTTCATTTTCTTTTGTAAATAAAGTATTAAAGGTTATACTGGACACAGTTGTAGAATTATACAGTAAATGATATAAAGTGGCGGATTGTCCAAATTAGTTTCATTTGATTTCTGTGTTCAAGTATCAATCCTTCAATGTTTATGGAAGTCGATCTAGAAGAAAAACCAACAATGTCGGGCACCAAATATGATTTAGCCTCTTCTGGACTAAATTAGTCAGGTCTTCCCAAAGAGGACGTAGACGAATTTATTTCTAGATTTAGGACTTTGGCCTCATTAAGAGATTTTGCAGATGCCAAAAAAGTCTTGTCTTTACAGTCTCGAATATTTGGCCACGCCCGATTTTTTCTAGAAAGTGTGCCGAATGAAGACAAAAATTCAGTAGAGAGTATCCAAAAGATTTTGAAGAAACATTCTCAAGGTGACTCTTGGGTGTGGCAAGTTAAAACAAAATTGCTTGAACGACAACAACTACCTTCCGAACATTGGATGATTATGCTTCAGATATTATGCACATGTGTCAACAAGTTAAGAAATCAAGTGCAGAGTGTCTTTCCATATTTGTACGTGGATTATTA